GTACCGCCACTTTGGAAGACAGTTTGGCAGTTTTTTACAAAGCCAAATTTAGTCTTACCATATGATCCAGCAATCATGCTCCTAGGTATTTACTAAAAGGAGTTGAAAACTTAAGTCCACACAAAAACCTGCACAAGAATGTTTATAGCAGCTCCATTCATAATTCCTCCAAACTGGAAGCAACCAAGATACCCTTAGATATACGAATAGATAAAACAGTAGTACATCGATACAATGGGATATCCAGTGGTAAAAAGAAATGAGCTATCAAGCCACAAAACGACATGATGGAACTTTTTTTTAATTGTGCTTGTAAGTGAAAGTTTACAATTCTAGTTAGTTTCAAATACAAAAACTTATACACACATTGTTTTGTGACCCTGGTTGCTCTCCCTATACTGTGACAGCACACTCTTCCTTTCCACCCCGGATTTCCCGTGTCCATTCAACCAGCTCCTAACCCTCTGTCTTCTCATCTTGCCTTCAGACAGGAGCTGCCCATTTAGTTTCATGTATCTACTTGAGCTAACAAGCACATTCTTCATGAGTATCATTTTATGTCCCACAATCCAGTCTAATCTTTGTCTGAAGAGTTGGACTCGGGAATGGTTTTAGTTCTGGGCTAACAGAGAGTCTAGGGGCCATGTCTTCCGGGGTCCCTCCAGTCTCTGTCAAACCATTAAATCTGGTCTTTTTACGAGAATTTAAGTTCTACACCCCACTTTTCTCCTGCTCCATCAGGGACTCTCTGTTTTGTTCCCTGGGCATGACGGAACTCTAAATGCATACTGCTATGTGAAAGAAACCAGTCCAAAATGGTTACATCTGTATGATTCTAGTTATATGACATTCTGGAAAAGGCAAACTATAGAGACAGTAAAAAGACCACTGACTGCCAGGGATTGGGGCAGCTGGCAAAGGGGATGAAAAAGAGGAGCATAGGGAATTTTTACAGCAGTGAACTATTCTGCATGACACTGTATAACATTATGCATTTGTCAAAATCCACAGAACTGTACAACACAAAGAGTGAATCCTAATGTAAACTATGGACTTTAGTTAATAATAATGTATCAATATTGCTTCATCAGTGTAACAAAGGTACCACACCAATGCAAGAAAGATGCTAATTAATATAGAGGAAACGGGCAGAGGGAGTACATAGGAACTTTCTGTTGTACTTTCTGCTCACCTTTTCTGTAAACCTAAAACTGTATTCCTGATAAATAATTAGAATACCTGGACCAGAAGTAAACATTTGAAACATAACTTTTTTAAAGTCTGACATTGTTTTCTAATGACATTTCATGCAAAACCCCTAATGTCATGAAAGAACACATCAGGAGTTTAAACTTCCACTGCTTGTGAACATTCTTCATTGTGATAATTCCTAATGTACTGGAGAATCTACTAAATATTGCAAACAAAAACAACAGGTATAATATTTTGGGCAAGATGACTTTACAGGTGATAGTGTGATCTTCCATGAGTAGAGAAAACATTTCTGGTGTCTCTCTTTTTGTAATGCTAGCAATCACTGATAAGCAATACCTAGGGGCAAAATGGTGATGTTCTCTAACACTCCTTCTTTCCAAAGTGATTGAATCATATTGTGGTTTTGAAGTGCTGTCTCACTTTAAAAGGAACCAGGGCTCCTTGGAGAAAAAGCAGAAGAGAAAGGTTTGGGGGAAAGAGCTCCTTGGAGAAAGGTTTGTAGCAGTAATTATTCAAGATGAGCCTTGACTATTTTGTCCTAAAATGTAGCAAGGGAGCTTACACAGACTACTAGAGTTATATGAAGAGGACTCAGGGACCAACCTGAAGAAGCTACCACAGGCCAAAAATGGGATAGCTTGAGTATCAATAAAGATAATAACTGCAATGAATTGAAACACATCAGAATTTTTAAAAATCTCTAAGTTTATAATAATATTAAGACAAACAAACAAACAAACAAAAAACCTAGCTGGTGGTCATCCATGGAACAAATTCATTATTTTGAAAACTGGTAAATAAAGGTTAGGCAACGCCTAAGGTAACATATTATAAATGCAGACTCAGGATTCACTCCAAAATCCCTGTTCATAACTACTGGAAAATGTCACTCATATAAGAAAGTGGAAGGGATGAAATGAAGCAATAGAGTATGAAGAAAGGCATTTTCTTGGTTCAGTAGCAGAGCCTTACAGGTAGCATGCATTCTATCTTTTAATTTGCTGAATGACTATGTTTAGGAAGCACAGCGCCCAGTTTGGACAGAACAAAGGCTCTCAATCTAACGGGAGGACAAGTAAATGAAAGATTACAATACAATACGATTATCTGTTGGTAGAATGGCCCAATCTTTCAGGAAGACAAATAGACATTATTTAAAAGTTCACCAGTATTCTTCTCAAAGTCTACCAGTTATCCATCTATCTGGGACAGTGGAAGAATAGACAAACTCTTAATAGTAGTGACTCTGAGAGAGTGAGATATATGTATAAAAAGCTGGAATTTTAACCAACAGGTCGGCAGTTCCACTCTGTCCTCTAGGGTTGCTATCAGTCACAATTGACTCGATGGCAATGGGTTTTTTTATGGGTATTAATTCTGTAATAATAAAATGTTTTAAAACACAATATAAAAAATGCTATAGCACTGGATGTATTATATACTGTAGAAGCAATTGACTTTGCTGTTTGTAATGCCATGGATTACTATGCAACCAATGGCAAGTTGCGTCATCTTTCTGAGCTTCAGTCTCGTTTATAAAGCAGAACAGCAGTGCCTGTTCTGCCTACTACGTAAATTTGTGAGGATGATCAAACGTGTGAAAAGTACAAAGCTTTAGTGCTATTAATATTTCTAGACAATTCTGAACCTAAGTGAGGCCAATTCTCTATAAGGAATAAAACTGAGCTTTGTCTACACTGCGCTAATCTTTCTTCTCTGTTGTTAATGCTAAATTCTTAGCTCAGCACTGTCCAATAGAACTTTCTAAAATGATGGAAATGTTCGTTATTTGTGATGTACAACATGGGAGGCACTAGCCACATATGGCTATTAAGCACTTGAAATACTACAGCTACTGCGACTGAGCACGCACATTTCAAATTTTATGTAATTTTAAATACTTTTAATTTGAATAGTTACAAGTGGCCAGTGGCTACTGTACCAGACAGCAATGTCTTAGCCTGATCTCTCTTCCCCCTCTCTCCCCATTTAAATAATTGCAAATATAAGAATATTAATAAATGAGAAGCTTCTCAACATACTTTTCATTTCAAATAATTAAACTTTTGAGAGATACTAGAAAAGTACCTTAAATTCTTAGGTATTATCTGAGTCTTTAAGGTCAGATTATTATTGTTTTTTATTGTAGTAAAATATACATAACAGAACATTTGCTGTTTCAACATTTTTTTACATTTAAAATCCAGTGATATTAATTACTTTCATCATGTTGAACAACAATCACCACTATCCGTTTCCAAATTTTCCCATAACCTTTTACAGAAACTCAGTGGCCCCTAAGGAATGACTTCTCCTTCCCCACCGCCTTCCACCCCTGGTAATCGCCAATAAACTTAGGTCTCCATACATTCACCAATTCTAGTTACTTCACATAAGTGGGATCATACATTTATCCTTTTGGGACTGACTTATTTCATTCAGCATAATATTTTCAAAGTTCATCTACGTTGTAGCATGTATCAGGACTTCATTCTCTTTATGGCTGAGTGATATTCCATTGTACGTATGTACCACATTCTGTTTATCCATTTACCTGTTGATGGACATTTAGGTTGTTTCCACCTTTTGGCTATTGTGAACAGTGCTACAGTGAACACTGGTGTACAAGTATCTGTTTGTGTTCCTATTTTCAATTCTTTTGGTCTATATCTAAAAGTGGAATTGCTAGGTCATACGGTACTCCTATGTTTAATTTTTTGAGGAACCGCCAAACTGTTTTCCACAGTGGCTGCACCATTTTACAATTCTACCAGCAATGCATGGGGGTTCCAATTTCTCCACATCCTCACCAACACTTGCTTTCTGTTTTTCTTATCATAGTCATCCCAGTGGGAGTGAAATGGTATCTCATTGTGGCCTCCATCAGCGTCTCTCTAATTACTAATGACATTGAGCATCTTTTCATGTGCTTATTGGCCATCTGTGTATCTTCTTTGATGAAACGTCTATTCGAGCCCTTTGTCTATTTTTTGATTGGGTTGTTTTTCTTTAATTTTTTTCCCTAAGTTGGGGGAGTTCTTTATATATTCTGGAAATTAAACCCTTATCCAATTGTCTTAGTCATCTAGTACTGCTCTAACAGAATTACCACAAGTGGATGGCTTCAACAAAGAGAAGTTTACTCTCTCATAGTCCAGTAGGCTACAAGTCCAAACTCAGGGCATCAGCTCCAGGAGAAGGCTTTCCGTCGGCTCTGGAGGAAGGTCCTTGTGATGCATCAGTCTTCCCTTGGTCTGGGAGCATCTCAGAGCAGGAACCTCAGGTCCAAAGGATGCGCTCCGCTCCCAGCACTGCTTTCTTGGTGGTATGAGGTTCCCCTGTGTCTCTGCTCGCTTCTCTCTTTTATATTTCAAAAGACACTGGCTTAAGACACTATCTAATCTTGTAAACCTCATCACTATAACTGCCACTAATCCATCTTATTAGATCATAGTGATGTAGTTTACAACACATAAGGAAATCACATTATATTACAAAATGGTACACAATTATACAATACTGGGACTCATGATCCAGCCAAGTTGACAGACAATTTTGGGGGACACAATTCAATCCATGACACAAATATATGGTTCCTCAAATTATTTTTAAGGACATCTTATAGAAACTAACAATTGATTAATCATGGACTAATACTTTACAATGATTTAAGAAAGAAAACAGTAACATTTTCAAAAAACATTTACCTGGTTATTGAGGAATTTGCAAAACAAATTCACTAAAAGCTCTTATTAAAAAGGCTTTAATCATTAAACAAATCTTACCTTTAGCTCTGCTTGTATGAACCCTTGCACGCACCCAAACAACTTCATCAGCTTTTTGTACTGTCAAGTCTCTAACTCGAACCAAAACCCGATCTGCGGCAAATAAGTTAAACAATTTTGTGATTCTGAATTTACAAAGAGGTAATTATTTGACAATTAATATAAGTACTTGTTATCATCTTGAGTAATTCTCAATCTCTGACAACACCTTCTTTATCACATTCCATACACAATTTACCCAGAGTTTTGTGAGCTGTACTTCTGGCCAGAGGGTGGGCTGTCTGCCAGGCTTGGACAATCAAAGTACTCCACTCCCCAGGACAAAGTGACCAATCCAGGGAAAAGCATGTTACACAAGCTGAGCTAATCAGTTTATACACATATGCTGGGAATTAAGCTCTCTTTTCTCTGCGGTTGCTAAGCTGAGATGATGTACACCCAAGGCTGCAGTCACCATCTTTCCTGCCATACATCTGCAGGAGAGAGAATGCCAATATCCTAAAGGAAACAGATCCAAAAGGTGGAGAAAGAATGCTCCTAAAAATGCTCCTTGAGCCCCCAGATCCAACCACACTAGATGCCATCTCAAACTTTGCTTCCTAGTTACGTGAGTCAGTTTCGGTTGCAAGTGAGCACCGACTACTATGCCCTCAATACTCATAACAAAGCACTACAATCCATCAAGAGTCCTCCAAATAGGTAAACTGTGAGGAAACAGGTACTATGTGAAAATAGCAATACAAGGCAAGATCCAGAAATCATTTTGTTATTGTTTTAAATTTGAAATAATGTGAATATTAGAAAAAATTTAAGTATTAATTAAAAACACAGTCATAGACATATCACAAGTAATGAAAGACCCCTATTCTCAAAGGTCACGCTGCCTAATTGTAACCAAACCAGTCAATATCATATAGTCAGTGAAACTTAGTAAATTAGAATACTAAAAATACTGTTTTTTTTTCTTTTGGTGGGGTGGGGTGGGGAACATAATGATATCAAGTTATAAATACATTTCATCTTCCTTGTCTAACTGTATTTAAAATCTGTCTCTTGAAACAAAGATATAGCTTAGAGAGAATCTGATTGACAAGAGAATATCATGGCTCTCAATGTCAAAAGCAGAAAATGAACGAGGAATTTTAAAGCCACTGGACAACATTTTGACAGGTTTTCTGTAAAACATTGCCAATAGACCTTAAGAGTTAATCCGACTTCCAAGTCAGCTGTGTAAACTCAGGCAAAAAAAGTATAAAAGAGAAAGGGTAGACAAAGCAGATATTTTAAAAGATTTGAAACTGCCAAAACTGAAAAAACAAACAACTAGGCAATCAAAACTCAAACAGAGTATTGTAAATCTCGAAGAGGAGAAATGTAAATAAATGTTATGAAATGGGTTATTTAAAATGTTCTCAGAAAAAGAAAAAGGGTAATAGCCTTTCTTTCTTGTGGAATTCCAACTCATTAGTATAGATGGCATTCTCAACCTTCAGATATCCCAACATACTTGAGGGATACACCACACTCCCCACCAATGAGTGGCAAATTAAGGCAAATGGTTAGTGGTGATAGGGTTTTAGGCTGAAAAACTACTGCCTACCCCACATTTTTAAGTCACTGGCATTCAAGTGAAGAAATCTGAAGAAATGCAAGCAGACGGACACTTTCGAGCAAAGTGTTAGAATTTTAGCAGAAGGAAGCTTCTAAGCCGAAGAGCATAGTCTATGGATTTGTCAAATGGGAACAGCAATTATGTCAACAGCTGATTAGGCCCATGTAAGAGATGCAAACTCCAGTGAGTTTCTTTGTGTCAGAGCACAGGAAAAGCTGAGCTCAGGAAGACTCTGAAGCTGAAAATAAAGTCTCAAATGACTTCTCATGCTTGCCTTGGCAGGGGAATGTCATCCCTTACACTCTGCTTGTAGCCCATTTTATACCCTATTATTTTACTTCATTTCTTTACCTTTTGGGAATGGTTTATTTTTAGTAAATTACTTTGGTCTTTTATCACATACTTTTCTAACAAAGCTGAGAAGGAAAAGTGATTTTATGATCATGCAGTGAATAAAATTCAGAATGACCTAAAATTAACCTAGAAACCAAAAAAACCTGCTGTTGAGTTGATTCTGATTCACAGCAACCCTACAGGACAGCTTAGAATCATAGGGTTTCCAAGGCTGTAAATCTACGGAAGCAAACCGCCACATCTTTCTCCCACAGAGCAGATGGTGGGTTCAAACCACCGACCTTTCGGTTAGCAGCTGAGCACTTAATCACCACACCACCAGGGCTCCTAAAATTGACCTACAGGTTTATTATTTCCAAAACATAAAATTCACAGGCAGGCCACTAAATTGGAAGTACTTAGTACTTAGTACTTCCAATTGGCCAGTACTTAAAGGTCTGTATCATACACAAGACTGAAAGACATAATTTGAAGTATCTACCAAAAAAAAAAAAAGATTGTTAAATAGTTGAGTAAGAAAAATCCGTTCAAATTACAAATATAGAATAGAAATAAAAGAAATGCACATGTTTATAAGTAGAAAACCTGCAGGCCTGGAAGAAAAAATTAATATGTGACAAGTCATTTGCAAAAAAATATTATTAAGTTACAAAAATGTATTACAAAGGGAGCTGCAATAAGAAAAGATGGACCGGGATCTAAGAAAAATTAGTCAATTCCCAGTCACTTAGGCTAAGAGTAAATAATACAGGAGAAACTTTAAAACTCAAATTATAGTCACCGCCAGAGGAGCCAGAGGAGATGGAAATGTCATGCTGTGGGCCCAATCCCAGGTCTGCCCGAGGGAGGCAAATTACTGAACATCTCTCAACCTAGGTTCCACCTAGTTTTCATGGGATGTTGTGAGAATTCAATGAGAAAATCAATGTTTGAAAGAGCCTAGCAGTACAGAATGAGGACACCGGTGGTTCAGTGATAGAATTCTTGCCTTCTACGTGGAAGACCTGGGTTCCATTCCCGGCCAATGCACCTCATGCACAGCCACCACCTGTCAGTGGAGGCTAGCGTATTGCTATGGTACTGAACAGGTTTTAGCAGAGCTTTCAGACTAAGGACTTGGAAGGCCTGGTGATCTGCTTCTGAAAATCACCCCGTGAAAAACCCACAAGAGTGGATCACAATAGTCTGATCCACAGCTGATCATGGGGATGGCGTAAGACCAGGCGGTGTTCTGTTCTGTTGTGCACGAGGTCACCATGAATTGAGGGCTAACTCGATGGCAGCTAACAACCACAGCAACGAGCCATGCAGGAGTTTAAAAAATACTCAACATGTCACAGAAGCAAAGTTAAGGGGGAAAAGTCAAAAAAAAAGGGAGGGCAGCTTCATTAAAGAATGCAAAAAGGGTACATGTGATGGAGGTAGTTTTCAACCACTCCTTTTATCTCCTAGACCAGAGCTAAATCTCTTGCTTACCTAATCACTTAGGAATGTTGTTTGTATAATTTACCAACTAAAATATATCATTTAATCTACAGTATTCATTTAAAGTATTTTCTTTCTTTTCTAGATTAGGGACTCTAAACTGACAACGTTTAAAAGAAATGTTGACGCTACACAAGGTTATGGCACCTACTTGAGTTATTAGTGTGATTTAAGCTTTTCAGAGTTAGGCCCCTAGAATTAATCCTACTTAAAACTTCATGAAGAGCTTTCCTGGAATTAAACACAAACAAACAAACAAAGCTTTATTAATATGACACAGCTACTAACCTGGTTTTTCTTGTGATTGTATCATTGAAGATACGCCATATCTTTCTTTAGCATAATCCTACAAAAAAATTTTTTTTGTATTATGACTTTCTATTTAAACACTAATAGATGGTACACAAATAAATACAAATAACAATATAAAAATGAATCCATTTTAAATTTCAGAATCATTTTATTACAGAGTCAGTAGTTTTAGAGTGTGGAAATCTGTCACACATCATTTACATATGTACTCTACAGAAAAACAGAAAAGTGCCTACCCACATTTTACGGTTTGTTAATTTTGAAGATCAGTATTTCTGGATGGATATGCCATACACAGTAGCATTCTCAGATAAAATTTACACACATGTATAACAAATTTTAACTACCTTCAAAAAGGAGATTAAACTACTTCAAAGCAGGGATATAAATTTCCTCTCGAAGGGAGTAGGATGAAGTACCAGTTTTATTAACTTCCTATTACAGGAAGAGATGTTCAAAGAGAACGTTTTGGGTAAGCTTTCTGAACACCAGATGGTCCACAGTTTCTAGAAACTGGAGATGCTGGATGTAAGCTAGCTACAACTTTCCCTTTGTAAAACATCATCAAAAAATTCACTAGCTTCCTGTTTCTAAAAGCCAGCATTAGCATACCAAGTTACAAACTGTTCCACACTGATAATACAGTATCAAAATTCTTGTTACAAAGTTAGGAACAAGAAATAGAGACCTAGGGTCCAGATTATTATTAATAAACTATACTTTTAAATAAGCAAGTGGCTTTTATTTTAATCTTACTTTACTCTAAAATGACCTCTTAATATCCTTGTAGCAATTAAATGATGTAACTCTGCCACAATCTACATATTACATCTGCAAGGGTGCAATGTTAACTTAAATAATTAATCAGATTAAGAATACACTAAAGCAACTTTCTTAGGTTTTATAAGGTAATTTAAAATCTGTATAAAACCTTTAGCTTGTCACTCTATAACAACCTGTTGGAATCGTTTCCTTTGGAGCTGAAGGATACTGGATTTTCTATTTATACCAAAATAGAAGCACATTATGCTACTGATTGAACAATTTTTTTTGGTTGGGGGGAGGCGAATATAAAAAATATACACCTTATGAACAAAGATACCTAGGCCCTAGTAGAGAGATAGTCACACAAAGTAACATGAGGGCAGCATAAATAGGTTAAAGTGTGTGAAAAGAAAAAAAAGTGTCACTCACTGTAATGAGTATAGTTCATAACTCAGCAAAACCTTATTCCATTCAGTATTCTGAGCTAGCCTATTTCTTGCGCAGCTTAGCACAAATCAGAATTCCTCAAGAGAACTATCAGCAGCCAGAAAGGGATTAAGGTTTAATATTCCTACAGCACACACAACTTGTAGGACGGTTTCAAATACTCATTTCTGAAAAGCACCACACTAAAGGACCACTGGGTGTTAGGAATTACCATGTGATTGAGGGTCACTTCATCGCAAATGGCATTCTCTGTAACCTTCCCTATCTCACTGGGTCACTGAGTGGAAGAAAGGAAATAACATAAATGACAAATGTTCTTTAAAGCTGTCCTATTGAAAATGGTCATTAAACCAATTGGCAGATCCGTTTCGCGAAGTACTGTCATTATTTGCAAAAACATCAGCACCACGAGGGCTGGGTAAAAATCCATTATCAAGGGATATTTAAAATTTTCCGGGGGGAAGAGTGTATTACGTGAAAGACGTGCCTAACCCAGGAAGAAGGCTAAGTGTGACTCCACCGCTCCTACTTCCGGGTCGGTTAGTACTTCGCGCCCACTCCACCCCACCCCAGGGACACGCTCCACGCAGGACAGGACTTCCCGGCCCAGAGGTCCCTGAGAGAAATGCAGTCAGTCCAGAGGGGTTCGGTCAAGCTGCTCGCTCAAGGGCCCTAGAGGCCCCGATGGGAACTCTGGGCTCCCGGACACCAGGCCCGCAGCCTGCAGGCAAAGTACGGACAAGGACATGTAGGTCAGGGCCCCGCTCACCCTACTCCCTCCCCCAGCGCGGTCCGGTCCTGGGGTCTGTCTTCCCAGGCCCGGAGAAGGAGGAAACCCACTTCCGCCGCGTCCATGATCTCCCGCGGCTTCTCCTGACCCTTGCGGCTCGCGTTCGCGCTCGGCATCGGGACAACCGGACTGGGCAGCGGCAGGAATAGTGATCACCACCCTCCCTTGCAAGCTTCCGTACAACAGGCCAAAGGGGCTTCTGCCTCCTGCACAGTCTCCGCCCCCCCCCGGCACACGCGGTTGGACTCCGCGTGGAGGATCGGCTCCCGAAAGATCGCGAGATCCATAGACATCTCGAGATCCTGGAGCGCAGTAGGTGGGCGGCCGGCCAAGCGCCGCCGACTCCTCCTCTTGTTCAGCCTCTACGCTAGTTGACCGCGAGTTGGAAGGAATCCCCGGGAGTTTGTTGTAGTCCCGCGGGATTGACACCGAGGGGCGGGATCTCTGAGTAACATGTGGCGCGCCCTGGAGCGCTCCGGGCGGTGGGGATGCGTTTCGTCTCTCTTCACTTCTATGCCACATGCGGCTTCTGTTCTGCCCCACTTACTGTCCTAACACCCCTTTTAGGCTTTAACCGCAAACTAGTCAGTAAAACACCCAACCAGGCCAGGCCTTGGTTTTTCCTCCGTTGGATTTCCTGTCTTCACTCTCCCGGGCGCAGTGTCATAGCCTGAGGTCATAGGAGGCCCCTTCGCAAGTCATCGGAACACAAGAGTGCTGAGTTTTAGGTAGTTCGTTTGCTCTGGCGAAATAGGGTACCAGTACTCAAGTGCTGGAGCCCTGGTGGCCCAGTGGTTAAGAGCTCTGCTACTAACCAAAAGATTGGCAGTTCGAATCCACGGGCCGCTCCTTGGAAACCTTATGGGGCAGTTCTGCTCTGAACTATAGGGTCTCTATGAGTCGGAATTGACTCAACAGTTTTTTGTTTTTGTTTTTTTTTTAACCCAAGTGATAGGAGCCCTGGTGGTGCAATGGTTAAGGGTGCTCTGCTAACGAAAGGTCTGTGTTCTAACCCACCCAGCGCCTCGGAGGGAGAAAAGACCTGGCGATCTACTCCCTAAAAGATTACAGCCTAGAAAACCCTGTGAGGGCAAGTTCTCTGAGTACGAGTGGACTCCATGACACACAACAACAACCCAAGTGATTAGTGAGGTGTAAACAATAGCAAACAACCCCACACGTTTGCACCGATTGCCTAGACCTGTTGTATTGTTAAAAGCAGTGTATAGCCTTGGTTGTTCAAAGGATAAATCTGCCCAAGTTAGGTTTTTTAAGGCTTGTCATTCATAAGTTCCTTTCAGGAATTGAAAGTTATTTGGGAACTTGGTAAAATGCCGTTTTCTCTGCTATACTTCTTTGCACTTTGTCAAAATTTCACTATCTTAGTCTTAGATTGGCACAAGTGGGCACAATCAGTAGTTGTTAAGGGTAAAACAGCTGAACAGAAGATTTCAAAGGGCAGCTTGAGAAGATAAAGTAAAATATTATATTGAAATGTGCAAAGACGTGGAGTTAGAAAACGAAAAGGGAAGAACACACTGGGCATTTCTCAAGCTGAAAGAACTGAAGAAAAAATTCAAGCCTCAAGTTGCAACATTGAAGGATTCTATGGACAAAATATTGAATGATGCAAGAAGTATCAAAAAAAAGGTGGAATACAGTCACTGAACTAAATTGGTTGACGTTCAACCATTTCAGGAGGTAGCATGTGATCAAGAACTGGTGGTACTGAAGGAAGAAGTCCAAGCTGCACTGAAGGCGTTGGCGAAAAACAAGGCTCCAGGAATTGACGGAATACCAATTGTGATAGTTCAACAAACTAATGCAACGCTGGAAGCGCTAATGCCAATGGAAGACAGCTACCTGGACAATGGGCTGGAAGAGATCCATATTCGTACCTATTCCAAAGAAAGGCGAGCCAACCTTTGACAAAATGATCAAACAATATCATTAGCGTCACATGCAAGTAAAATTTTGCTGAAGGTAACTCAAAAACAGTTGCAGCAGTACACTGACAGGGTACTGCTAGAAATCCAAGCCAGATTCAGAAGAGGACGTGGAACAAGGGATATTGCTGATGTTAGATGGATCTTGGCTGAAAGCAGAGAATACAGAATACCTGTGTTTTATTGACTATGCAAACGCATTCGACTGTGTGGATCATGACAAATTATGGATAACATTGTGAAGAATGGGAATTCCACAATACTTTCTTGTGCCCACGAGGAACCTGTATATAGACTAAGAGGCAGTTGTTCAAACAGAACAAGGGGATACTGCATGGTTTAAAATCAGAAAAGGTGTACGCTAGGGTTGTATCGTTTTACCATACTTATTTAATCTGTATGCTGAGCAAATAATCTGAGAAGCTGGACTATATGAAGAAGAACGCAGCGTCAGGATTGGAGGAAGACCTATTAACCTGTGTTATACAGATGACGCAACCTTGCTTGCTGAAAGTGAAAAGGACTTGAAGCACTTACTGATGAAGATCAAAGGCTACAGCCTTCTGTATGGATTGCACCTCAACATAAAGAAAACAAAAATCCTCACAACTGGACCAGTAAGCAACATCATGATAAACAGAGAAAAGATTGAAGCTGTCAAGGATTTCATTTTGCTTGGATCCACAATCAACACCCATGGACACATTCTGACTCCATCACTTTACCATAAACAGCATTTGCTAAGTCCCATGACCTCTGTGTTGCTAAATCCAATAGATATGTTTCAATTATCATCTTACTTGAAGTCTAGGGAGTAGTTGACAATGAAGACACTCTCTTCTTGGAACATTCCCTTGCCTGGCTTGTGACACACCCTTGGTTTTCCTCCCACCTCTCTAGCTGCTTCCTGTCTATCTCCTTTGCAAGTTCATCCTCTTCCCTCCTCTACTTGATGTCTAAATGTTGACACTCCTCAAGGCTTCATCTGAGGCCTTCACTTCTCACCCCATGCTCTCTCTCTAGGCAAGCTCATCCCTGACCAGGGCTTCAGTGATCACCTACCTGCAGGTGTTTCACCCATCATATCTGTAGCCCAGACCTCTCTTCTGCACTCCAGATCACAGAAGACCTGAGGTAAAGCACCCAAAGAAACACTTTCGTATTACCAGATACTAAGCAGCTACCCTTCATAGCATTTACCACACTTGCAATTAGATGGTAAGCTTCACAGGGCAGGGACCATGTCCATTTTCTCACTATTGCATCCCAGAACCTGTGAGAGAGTCTCCAGAGGTCTTTTGATTGTCTACTTATGTTAAAGGTGGGTACTAAAAAGCTAATTAGAAGCTCTGATCTTTTGGATGGGGTTTCTCTATTTTGAGCTTTACTGTAGAATGATCTGGGTGGGCCATTTGATGGAAAAATCCTCATGTCATTATCTTAGCTGGTTGAATTTTTCAGAAAAAAAATCTCTTTTACTATGCCGGAAGAGTAAAGGTCTGACTTCCAGTGTTCTGCTGTTGGGAAAGTGGAAAAGCCGTCTGTCATGCAGCCTTCCCACCACCACCTGGACTGCCTAATCAGAAGCCTTGGCCCAGAATATTCCCTGATAATGGGGGGTAGGAACTGAGGATTCCTTTGTCCCAGTTTCTTATTCTTCCTTATCAGGGAAACTCCCTCCCTGTTCTGGGTACAGAGTAAACTTTCCTTCCTCTGCTTATGCATACACATAGCACCTGGACAACCCCACTGCTATATCTGTTCCTGGTGGAGAGGGAATGAGGTGATTTTTCTGCAGCACAAGAGGGGTATGTGAAGACCATCATCCCTGCATCGGCTGTTATGGGGAGTGACTCACTGACCATGGGGGACTCACACCAACTGTTGAAGCTGAACTTGCTCTGTCTCTTCTCTGTGTGAGAAAGCATTGTTCCATCCAATGTCTATGTAAGTCATGTCTTTCTTGGTGACCTTGGATCTTGGCTTGACATCTGGGAATACTCAGCATTCAACATGTATTTGGTCCCCTCATCCCCCTTCTTTTGGCATAGCATCTACAGCCTCAAGATTTTGGAAGTTCCTGAAGTCCAAGGACTCACTCTTGTACCCTCTCCAGAGAACCCATCATGTCAGGATGGGAGAGGACTCTTACCCAGTGAGTGGAGTAAGGAGGAGTTACATGAATTAGACTTCTTATGTAGCCTCCCCAAATATTCCTTATTATAATTCCCACTCCCACCTCCATTTTCAGACATAGTTGGTACTGAGTCTTCTCAGGTTTCTGTGGTATAAATTAGGCTGTTTCTCAGCTTTCCTGACTGCTACCTTAGTACTCAGCTTTCCATACCTGCTAAGTAGGTTTATCTGCTTTCTAGCTTCACACATTTTGGGAGGGCTGTCTCTTCCTCTGCTCTCCCCATACCCTTGATTGTGGTTTTTGTGAGGTTAGGGGTGGGAGCAAAATTAGATCTGCCATCTTAGCACAGAAGTCACTTTTTCTGTTCTGTATTATACTATCAGTATATACAAGGCTTCCAGCAGATGACTTAGGGTTACCATAATGAACACCAAGGCTCATTTATTCTTTCAACAAATAGTTATTGAGGGCCAAGTATGTGCCGGGCATTAGTCTAGGTATTTGGGGTATACCAGGGAACAAAGTAAATAAAGATTCCTGCCCTTGTGGGTATTGTATTTTAAAGAGGGGAGGCAGACAATAAATAATAGATACAATAAATAAGTAAATTATGTAACATGTTAGAAAGTAATAATCAGAAAGAAAAAGTAGAGCAAGGCAAGGGGGATAGGGAGTGCTGGGGTGTAGAGAGGTGGGGTGGGTTGCGATATTAAATAGGGTGGTCAGGGTAGGCCTCATTGAGAGAGTGACATTTGAACAAAGATTTGAAGGAGGTGAGGGATGTGGCCATGTAGGTATTGGAGGGGGTGGTGGTGGGGTGGAAGAGCATTCCAAGCAAAGGGAACAGCCAGTACAAAGGCTTTAAAG